GTCTATTACATTTTCTAACCAAGTGTCATTCATATATAGGAAAGCTTTTTTTTTTTTTAACCCAAACACTTTGTTGAATTCACTCTCACTTTGTAATATCTTTTCAAACAATGATGTCATCTGCAAATAACCAGTTGTTTGTAGGGTGAAAAAAATTCCACTGTGCAATGGTCACTTCAGCTGTACCCTCACATATCCACACACACGATGCATTTATTATTCTTTAAGTTTTTCTTTACAGGCTTGGCTTGTAAAGTACTTCAAACATATAGAAAATTACCAAACACTAAGATACCTATCATCCAGATTGAACAGATACTAACTTTTTGCATGTTACTGTCAGATCATTCCCCCTTAAACAAAAAAGCCTGGTGTAGTACTGCAGACACATCTACGGTGTCTCCATCCCATCTTCCTCCTCCTCCTCCCCAGAGTAAGTCCCGCGCTGAGGCTGGAGTCTGACATCCTGCACTCACTAATGCACGTGGATGTATGTGGTTGTGGTGTTTTAAAAATGTGTGCATGTTGTCCGCAGTTGTAACACGCTGTCCTGATCGAAAAGTAATAAATATCTGCCCATTATGAAAAATTCCAACCTTTAGAGAAATCGATGGGACAGAAAGTTAAAAGTGATCCGTAAGAATCTTTTTAAGAAAGCCACTATTCACAGTAAGGTATATGATGTTTTAACCCACGCCGTGAGGTTGCCTAGAGTAGGATCAAACGCTATCTGAAGTGCCTAACGAAAGAATGCCTTCCTCAGGGAAGAATAATTGAGGTATGTGTTTACCACCATATCCTGTTCTCTACAGAGTTCTCGAGCTCAGTTAAAAAAAAAAAGAAAGACAAGAATCTCAGCAGGGGTTACTAGGACTTTAGGTAGGTTTCAGCAGCATCACTGTTTACGCCACAGAACAACCGGCTTCTATAGATTTGATTGCTGCACCTGACAGGGCCCACGGCCTGCACAAAGCAGACGGCCTTGACGCACAGCTGCCAAACTTGGAGCACATATAAGACAATCAGAGGAAGTCTACGTATAAACTTCTCCATGCAAGGAAAGGTGGTTTTTCCATTTGCCTTTTTCTGAGCAATTTAACTTCCTAATTACATGGTCCAAATTGTTCCAGAGACTGTGTAAACCATATGTTTGTTAAATGCTAGAGACAAACACGGGGAAGTCTGATTAGCATCAGCTTCCCTCAGGAAAGGGGTTTCTTTCCCAAGCCCGGCTGAGGCTGCGTTATCCTTATGGGACATGGCTGAGTGAGCAGAGGAGGGGAATAGTTTGTAAGTAGCTGCATCTGGCTGTGGATTCTCCCCTCTTCCTTCTGCTGAGGCACATATTTTAACCCAGAGTTATCCTTTGGTTTTAACATGAGCAAGTAGGTGCTGCCTGACATCAGCAGAATGAATTTCATCCAGTATTTCGCAGATTCGGAGAGGAGAAAATAGGATTATTTTGAACCTTTATGAGGGTGAGTGTGTGAGTGTGTGTGTGTGGGAGAGGACGAACATGCTAGCAAAGAGGGAGTTGCTTTTTCATTTTTGTCCCGTTGGGTTTGAACAGTAGAGGGTGAGGATAAATAATCAATTTATTTCACTACCGTTAAATGAAATTAAGGTGTTTATTTAAAGAGAAGTGAAGAAGTTGTAAACATTATTGTGTAATGAACAAGTTTGCAGGTCTAGATGAAATAATGGTATTGGATGATTGTTATTGAATCAGTTAAACAAACAAACAAACAACAACAAAGACATGTTTCCTGTGTCCTGTTTTGGATGCAGAAATCCAAACAGTGGGACAAGTTCCCCGTTTGGCCATAGTCAATGACACAGATGTGCAGATGCGTAGAAGCGGATACCTTGAGGTGAACTCACAGAGCTATAAATAAAGTGGCTATAGTTCGTCTTCCCCACTGGACATTTGAGAGGACAACAGGCAGAAATGGGGTCACCCACAGTCACCCCAGCTCTTAATGGTGTTGTGGTTGTCATTGCTTAAGAGAACAATGGGAAAAAAAAAAAAAACACTCTTAATTTTTCTACTTTTTCTGGCCTTAATTGCCCCCAGGAGACAAAGATTCAGAGCATTAATGAAACACACTGGCGGATATTGTTTTACAAACACTGGGGAAAAGAGGAACTCAGAAAGTCAAGAGGAAAAGAAAGACTGAACTAGTTTATTCATGCTAGTTCACGTAGCCTTCCTGTGGCCTCTTGGTCTTGGATTCTAGTGGGGACTACCAAATAGGTAGAACCATGTTATGCTGGCACTTGAGTCATCTTGAATGATGGCTTTATGGCATAAACATTCCTTTGCCTTTTATTTCTTTGGAACTATGAAGAATACGTGTGCAATGTCATTGGTTAGGGCACTACCTAAATACCCATGTACACTACGTTAGGATGCTTGGATTTCTCTGTTTGAGCAAACAGAATTATTTTTAACTGGAAATGGGTGTCTTTGACTGACAGGTCATCTTGTTTAACTTGTGAGTTGGACCAAAAGATTCAGAGGAACAGAAGGAGCATGGTAACAAAGAAGCCCTCATTCATCTTGTTCCTTCTCTTGTTTTTGATGTTGTCGAGGTTTTGCTTTTGGTTTTTTGCTTTTGTGTTTTGTGGTTTGGTGTTTATCCTGAGTCCTGAGCTGTTAAATCGATGTTTAAGATATCTAGACAACAATATAAACTTTTCCTGCTCTGCCAAAAATTGACTGCTTTGTTTCTGGTAAATCTGGCCTTTAAAAAATACAACCTGGAGAGCCTGGGTGGCTCAGTCGATTAAGCGGCCAACTCCTGATTTCAGCTCAGATCATGATCTCGGGGTCGTGGGATTAAGTCCACGTCGGACCCTGTGCTCAGCGGAGAGTCTGCCTGAGATTTTCCCTCTGCCCCTCACCTCCTGCTTTCTCTCTCATCCTCATATAAATTAAATATATATATATATATATATATAACCTTATTTGTAAAGTGTATTATCCGTGTATTACCCTGTTTTCTCTTTTTATAAAAGTTGTGTGAACTTTGATAAACCTTATTTTGATGTGAGAAATATTTTATATATCCTGACTATGGCTGTCTTGGTCTGTAGGCAGTTTCAGGAGAGTTTTGGAAACGATCTTGCCATGTGAACTTTCAGTTAATACAGATTATTGCCTTAGCAACAAGTTAGACCTGATCAGAAGGAAGTATTTTGCTTTTATAGATAATTGTATTTGCTGTTTTTTGAGGGGGGTATCTATCAAATGAAATTTTGGAAAAGATTTTATAAAGTTGTCCAAGGAGAGTTACAAGGAAGTGGTTGATAGGTAGATGTGTCCACCACTGAATGAAAGAAATTCTAAGAAATCTTAAGCAAAATGGCCTATCCTGAAATTCCTAGTATAGTTGACTGGGCACAAGGAGTTTCCTTTTCTCTTAGTTTCTCTGAGTTCATACATTTGCATTTATTTTTAAATTAGGTAAATAGCCCATTTTGTTCCTAGAATATATTGCATAATCATCCATTTATTCAGCAGTTCTTTCTTGAGCTCTTTCATGTTCAGCTGCAAGGGTTATAGATGCAGGCAGAGTAGAGGGAGAGCCGGATCTAACCAGGGTTGGGATTTGCCAAGGAAATGAGCATGTATGCACGGAGTGATTAAAACTACATACCAAGAAACCCAAGCTGGGTCATTTAATAAGCATGAACGAGAGGACACGAAGGGTTTAAGGACAGGGGAAAGGTGGTAGAGTCGGTGGGCTAAAGAATCATTGGGGTTGAGGATTAGAAGAAGAAGGGAGTTGGAGAGATAGGTGGTTGGAGAGGGTGATTGACATTGGGATTACAGAGAGGTTACAGTTGATGGCAATGACAAGGTCTAGGGTCTGATGATGGTTGGGGTAGCTGAAGGAGAGAGAATAAGATGGTTGAGGAAGGGGAAGTCAAGGAACTGAGAAGCCAGGGTAATGGAAGGCTCCCCTCCGTGGAAATTCAGGAAAGTCGTGTTGGGGAGAGACCGTGAGCCAGCAACTAAACTCGTAAGGGCAGATGACTCCTAACGCGTCCAGGAGTCTGTCCCTGACTTTGATTATGACATAGAGCTGGACAGCATGAGCTTTAAAGCTAAAGACTTTTTAGGAGGTGGAAGTGATCATTTTCTAGCAGCAGCAACGAGAAGCAAGGCGGCAGAGAGCCTTCGGGGAGACCACATTTTCTAGGGAGAGCCAAATTTCTGTTAAGGCAAGAAGGTAAAAGGAGGGTTCAGGGACAAGGCTGAGGATTTATAAGATCTTGCTGGATTCCCTACATGAGGCCTATTTCCGGAGGACCCAGTAGAAGGGGTTCAGAGACCAGCAGAGGAGCTCAGAGGGTAGAGCCAGATTAGGCGTGTTCACAGTGCTACGGGGATGAGAGTCAGGGGAATGAGGAATACTGGGGATCTGGGGCAGAAGTGGGGATAGAGAAATCAGTGCTGGTGGTTTCCGAAGCAGGTGGTGATGCTGTGTGTGTTGGGAGAGAAGGACGGCTCAGGCAGACCTCTGAGGCTCTTCTTCTGTCCTGTGCCTAGTGGTTTGGAGGCTGGGAGTGAGCCCTTGTTACCCAGAGCCAGGGTAGGTTTGGACTCCCTCTTTATTCTGTGGACAGAGGGAAGACTGGGGAAGCGTACCCATCTGAGCATTACCACTATGTATGTGTGTCTCACTTGTGATAACAGTTCCAGGATAATGTAAGATGAAAGCTAGAGCGTTTACAATTATGTTTAATACTGCTTTTAAACCTGAGATACAATTTAGCATATTACAGAGAAATAGCCATTAACAGGTCTAATTTGGGAAGTGTATATTGATTCATAATCAGTATATATGTAATTCAGATTCCAGCTCATGTTTTAAAATAAATCATCCTCTCCCTTTCCTTCCTTCCTCCCCATCACCTTCTCCCCAAAGGTGACGTGAAAACTGACAGTGTCACAGTCCTAGCCACTGAATTGTTGACATGTTCTTTTCCCTTTTCCTTTTAGTGAAGAAAGTTACAACGTCAATGATTATTCCTTAAGAGATCAGCTATTGGTGGAATCTTGTGACAACGAAGAGCTTAATTCTTCTCCAGGGAAGAACAGTGCCACAATGCTTTATTCAAGACAGAGCTCTGCCAGCCACCTCTTTACTCTGACGGTCCTCAGTAACCACGCGAGTGAGAAAGTGGAGATGCTGCTCGGGGCTGAGACGCAGTAAGTGTGTGCGGGGACGGGGTTTCAGAATGTCTGCTCCCAGTCTTCCCTACGTCATTGCCCTGATCTAAGACTCCCTAAAAACAGTGAACAGTAGAACACAGAATAAACACTGTATTTTTTGCTGAGGACCTCCTATGCACCAAGCACTGGGTCTAGGTGCTTCGCTCAAGCTCATCTTTTCACTGTGATCCCCTCAACGTCTCGAGAGATGCACATTATTATTTTCATTTTCATGACTCCTAATGGATGCATTGTGCTTTAGGTGGTGTGCTTTTATATTTAGAGAGTGGTTTCAAAATCTCTTTATTTTAATCATTGATAAAGATATGACCCATGAGCCCTGGGTAGGTGACACCTGGTAGTTTGAGTCTAGGCCATAAGTTTTCCTAGATGAGGGAGCTGAGGCCATTTTGCAATCACCTACCGTCAACGAGACAGCAAAAAGCCTGATGATTTCTATCCAAAGACATACTCAGTTTGGGGAAACATTCACGAATCTACTTTCCCGTCAGAGTTGATGCAGAGGCTAAATTAAATAAACAGCCCTGCTGTTTGTGGCTGCTGGAGCCCCGATGGCTAAGGGGCCAGCCAGCCTCACAGTGGATGAAGACAAGGGGGCTTCACCTCCGAGTCTACCCCCCGTGATTTGGTCCATTTAGAGGTCGTTGACCTATTTATTTGTTCAGAAACTGGAAGCGTCCTCATGAAACAGTCATCACAGGCAGGTGTTCTGTTGGGCGGAGCAGGAGAGCAAGAGGGGAAACCCCTCAGTCTTTGTCCTCAGGGATCCTCCACATCCCTTCCACTGGAGTCTGCCAGGGATCCCACATGGTGCGATTAAAATGGACCGGCAGCTGGTGAATAACAGCCCTAAGACTGTAGCAAAAGCTTAGCGAAAGTAAACCCAGGGAGGTATCTCTCCTTCTTAAGAGTATTTTAACAGTGCTTCCTGGGTCATTAAAGAGAGACATCAGAAAAAGATTAAAATGATCAAGTGTCCACATAAAACATTTTAAATGATCATTTCCTATCTTTTGGCATAAGAAGTAACTTCTCAAAGGCTCTTAAAGAAGACCAAGAGGGACAGGTTGATGTAAAATCCATTTGAGATTTGAAAATAGCCAAAGTGGAGTATTCCAAATGAACTTGAGAGTTAGCAGGGGGAATAAGAAAAGGAGCTTCATCCTATGTGTTTGTTTATAAAACAAAGAAATGCCTTTTTCTAAGGTCCCAGAGCTCTTCCATGAAATTGCTAAAGAGCCCAGCCACATTCCAGGCTTGCTCCTCTGTGTTTGCTCCTCTGGGTGGGTGTGGTACTAGCTGGTCTGTGCAGGTGACCTGCAGGAGACATATCCAAGACCCCGACTCAGGAAGGCATTTCTTCAACTCTGAAAGTGATTAAACCCCTCGGCCAGTGAAGGCAGCTCTAGCCTTCCTCTGTTTGGGGAAGCTTCTCTTAAAAAGAGAATTTCATGTCTGAGCTTTGGATCTTATATAACCTTTTTTTTTTTTAAAGTAGGCTGCATGCCCAGCATGGAGTCCAATGTAGGGCTTGAACTCAGGACCCCGAGATCAAAACCTGAGCGGAGATCAAGAGTCGGACGCTGAACCGACTGAGCCACCCAGGCACCCCCTTATATGACTTTAAGGATGAAAAAGTCTTAAAGGCTTTGGGGATGAGTGCTTGTGCAGGCATTCTAGAGAAATCTCCGAAACAGATTTTCACTCATCAGTTTTTGTTCGTAATGGTGAAAGTGTTACTGGTTTTGCTTTGTGTTTTCCTTTTCTCTCTGTTTATAAGGATTGTTTGTTCTTTATTCAGGTCCTGCCAACATCTCAGCAGAGCTTTTCCTGTCTCTTTTGTAATTTATGTAACCTCCACCACTTGTTCCTGAGATTGTTCCCGGAGAATAGGAAGTAAACGAACATGTCCAGTTCTTTGTATACCAAGGCGAGATCCTTTCCTGGGATGTTCTGTAGCATTTGTTCACTGCCTTTCCTTTTGATCTTGCCATGGGCTGAATGGATATTCGTTTCCTCAATCAGAAATGTTCTCAGAATATTGAGCTGTGTCACCCATAAGTGGTATGAGCCATGGGTCTGACTCAGATTTATAGTTCTTTAATGAATGGCAAAAGAACATTCCGTAAGGGGCAGAGGTCTTCTTGTGTACAGGACTCACTCCCCCACTGCCCTCCCATCCAACACCAGCTCCGTTACAGTTGAAAAGTAAATAAATGGACCCTTTTAAGCACCTAAGGCATAGAATCGCACTGGTGCTGAAAGAAAATCTATTATAGCCAAGATGTGCTTTCCTTAGGAAAAAACAACTGACTGTTTAAAAGCCTAGCAAATTGTTATATGCCATGTTTGGGTAAGTGCAGGTCAGCCCTGGGCTTACCTGGTTTTGGGCAGGCAATCAGAGTTTTGGTCTAGGTAGACTGTTGTCTTTGCTTCTAAGATTTGCAAAATGTATAGGTGAAAGTGTGTGTTTTAAGTTTTCCTCTCTTTTATGTTATATGTGGTTGCGATGGTCTGTTAGCAAACTGGTTGGGCAAACAAGGTTTTCACCCCATTCTGGCCTTTTAATAACATGGCAGAACTTTAGTCACATAGGTCTTTTGGCTACTTATTCTTTGGTTTGAAAAAGGAGGAGGTTCATACCTAAATTTTTACCTTCTTGGAAAAACTGTTGTCAGTAGGAGGGGTATTGCTGTTTGACATGAGGACAGTTCAGTCATTATAAGGTGGTGAAATGGTAGAACAGCTCAATAGCTTTGATTACATAAAGAATTCAGAAAAGCTCCCCAAAAAGGAAATGGGGTGAGCATTTAAGGAGCACCTGGGATGCTACACTTGTGAGCTGAAGTAAGGTGACATCCTGGTTTCCCGTCTTGGTTTCCCCAGGATCAGCGTTACGTCTTTGGTTCTGGCAGAATTAAGAATAGCACCCTCTTTGACTCTCAAAAGTGTCTTGCTTAGGCAGCAAAATCTGTGATGACCCTAATTATTAGTCTGTGCTCTACTTGCCTCGTTTTTTCTCCCAGATGTAAAATGAGACAAAGGTGACGTGATTTGCTTAAAGTCACACAGGAAGTGAGTTATTGCCAAAGCCGGGACCAGACCCTGACCCTCCTGAAGCTAGTGTCCTTCCTGGTAACAAGTTTTAATCATCTTACTAAGCCGCCATTCAGAAGACTGCTCACCCCTCCCTTGCCATTTGGCCCTGTTGTACATCTATCTGGAAGGAAAACTCCAGGAAGCCAGTTGCTATGAAATGTGAAAAACTACTAAAACGTGGATTGTTTTCTTCAGTTCATAGACTCTAAAAAGGGGAAAAAAAAAAATTTGTGGAAACCCAGCTGGTTAATTTAGGGCATCCCATTGTTTGAAATATTTTATAATAAGATCCTGAATAGATGGTGCAGGAAGACTCCTCTGAGGTGACATTTGGACCGAACCCTGAGCGACAAGGAGTCAACCCATGGGAAAACTCAGCGCCAGAATGTTCCAGGCGAAGGCAACAGCAGGTGCAGAACTTCTAGGGAAACAAGTCTGATGTTGTCAAACTTGGCTTGAACATGATGAAGATGGCTAGATCAGAATGCAGCAGAGAGAGAGTGGGCGGTCAAGAGGCCAGCGGAGGCCGGAGCATTTCAGAGCAGAGCGGTTCCAGTGCGGTGTGTGGGCTGTCAGTCCTCACGCCATCTCCGCCTGGGCCCAGGGGAAGCAGTTGAGAACTTACAGCATTTTGACATGTCGGCAGCATCCAAGCATGTGATTAACAGTAACTCACTTTCGTTGTATTTCTAAGAACACTTGGTCCACAATGGATGGGGTGGGGGGCTGGGGGGTGAGGACTGGTTCTTCACCACACATATTTTGAGAAGCCACCATCTAGAGCTTCCTAAGCTATAGCAGGGAGTTCCCGGGAAGACTGGGATGAAGGCAGAAGTTTCAGCAGGGAGAGCAAACAGGGTCCTGTTGCAGTAGTCACTGGGAGTCCTGAGTGCAGCCTGGGCCGTGGTCTGAGAGAGGAGATAGAAACGTGCTATTTTGGAGGCAGAGACAACGCGATGGACTTACGGGTTGGATGAGTTGGCGTGGCCATGTGTGAAAGAGAAGAATGGATGGTGCTTTGGATTTTAGGCTTGAGCAGCTAACACCGTATGTTAAGCTGCTCCTCCTCGGTCTTCAGTGTGGCTTCTTCCTCCGCTGCCCTGACAAGGCTGCTCGGTCGAAAGATGAGCAGCGGCTTCCTGGTTACTCCATCCGGCAGTCATCCTTTCCTTACCTTTCATCTCATTTCGTTTTGTTGTCCGTTCAGCTCTCTCACTGTGACCCCCTTTTTGAAATTCTCTTAACCTGTTATCTGTGTTCTCTTAGCTTTCCTTCCATCTCTTTTTTAAAAAAATATTTTATTTATTGATTTGAGAGAGAGAGCACGCACAAGCGGGGGGAGCTTTCCTTCTATTTCTAACCATTTCTCTTCGCTTTCCCGAACCAGTCAGCTACCCAGTGCGTTCCCTAAATGCACATTTCTGTAACTGGTAGGTACCACTGGCACCACTTGGTGTCATTTGTGATGCTCCCGGTCGGAACAAATCTATCATCTGCCAGTTCTTTTTGTACAAAAAGTCCATTGCATCTCTCCTCGTTTCCGTGCCACCACCTCCTTCCGAGGACAACCCATGTGTCACTTACCTTTTTTTTTAAAGATTGATTTATTTATATGAGGGAGAGAGTGAGCAGACTAGCAGGGGGAGGGGTGGAAGGAGAGGGAGAGAGAGACTCTCCGGCAGACTCCCTGATGAGCGTGGAGCCTGACACGAGGCTCGATCCCACCACCCTGAGATCATGACCTGAGCCGAGATCGAGTCAGACGCGTAACCGACTGAGCCACCCAGGAGCCTCTGTGTCACTTACCTGTTGAGCCACCCTGTAGTGTCCTCCTAACCATTCCCCTTCTCTCAGTTTTGCATGGTTTTATGACTAAT